ACCTTTTTGCCGAAGATAAGAATTTTCAGTAGCAAGGTGAATGAGTCACATGATCGTGCAAGGAGTGAAAAGGATACTTTTCATTCATCAACAAGTAGTATAAACAAAGGGACTATCGAGACATTTTGTACCTTCATTTCGAAGCACTTGATAGCATCCTGGATGGCTTCCTCCTCGGACAGGCCGAGACCTTCCATCAATTCCCTGATTTCTTCGTCGTAAATTTCCTGGGTAATTCTCGTGGTCATGATAATGCAGCTTCTCTCACCGGTACTCCGTTTTGCTATATAAGGAAATGAACACCGTACAAGCCGCGCGAGCAAGGCAAGCGTGCACTGACTTGTCCATGTAAAAACAAAGAGAGAGGACCTGTCACAGCGACCGCGCGTTCGCAAACTCATCTATGAGTGCTTTCCATTTAGGCCTGTTCTACAATGGGTGTTTTTCATTTAGAGACATAAGTTGACACAGGTATCGTTCTATCTTTCTTGGCTTTCAATGATTAACAAGGACAAAATGATACTTGTGTCGACTTGTGTCACTAAATGGAAAGCACCCAATGAGTCGTGGGCCGTAAGATTGGGTCAATCACAATCAAGTATTCTCCCCATATTCGTCTGTGATTGGTCAATTCTTGTGAGTTGCGGCTTGCGACACACGACGCATTGTAGAACAAGCCTTAGCTACACAAGTATCGTTTTGTTCGTGTTGCTCATCTTTCTTGAATCAAGAAAGATAAATAGAAGTCAAGAAAAATAGAACGACGTTTATGTCGATTTGTATCACTAAATTGAAAACACTTTTGATATCAATATTGATATCAAGGCTTGATATCAATAAATAAAAAAAAAAAAACCTAAAATATAATAAATATTTTTCATGTTCCTGCGTACACACATTCCATTACAATCTTGATATAAATTCAAAACTAATTTTAATATAAATTTAAAATTATTAAAATTACTTTTAAATTTGTATATTAAAATAAATCAAAACGAAATACTAAAGTATTTTCATGCATCACTCATCGCTCATTTTTAATGTCAAAGTAAATTACGGGATTGAAGTTGACGCAGAATAAATTGAAATTTGAAATGGTGACTTTTGATCACGTGATCTGTTGTTAGACGCTAAAAATGAGCGGTACACGAAAAAGTATTTTCTTTAAAATAAAAAAAACTATATAATATTAAGTATATCTTCTATATATTTCGTAAAAGCGTCATAGGAAAGTACAGAAGTGAAACGAACAAACTCGCGTTGATTCTTCGCGACAATTCGTCGTTGCACTTTTTGCGTCTCTCATCTTTTTTTCTGCGCAGCGAGCAGCAGAAAATTGCACGCGGATTCAATTCCAAGTGTAGAAAGTAAAAAAAAAAAAAAAAAACGGTGCGGATGCGGAGGGCAGATATTCATCTCGGACAGGCTGCATTCGGAATCACGCGGTCGCGGAGCAGCATCTCTCGTGCGAGCGATCGCGCTCGCTCTCGATCGCGCTCGCAGTCGATCTCGGATCGAGCGTTGCGACCTCAGCTGCCTGGCCTGGCCTAACCGTGTTCGTTCGTGGTGTCGCGCGACACGACTGACGTTATTATTATTGCGCTCTCCCCTCGTGGCTGGCGCAACTGATCCGCAAATTCCCGGCATACACGGCCGACGGAGTTGTTTCAGAGGAGAGAGAAGTTACCCTCGTCGTCGAACGTCGCCGTCGTTATCCTCCTCGTCCTCGTAGCCGTCGTAGCCTCCCCTCCTCCTGAGCGGAGTGCCCACGCCGCAAGTTTCTCGTTATCATCGAGGAGTCTCGTTGGCGAGGTGTTAGCGCGCATCTCTTCCCGTTTTTGCCTTCCCAGCGACGTCAAACAGGTAAGCGTCCCTCGTTGGGATCCCACACGCTTAGCACGTGAACCCTCGTTCGCGTCCTCGTCGAGACGCATGATTTCACGCGTGTACATCGTGCACATATCCCCTTGATCGGCGACAACTACCTGAGGGACATCCCTGGCACACCGCAGTATTGTTGCTTTGAGCTAACAGAGAACAGGCAATAGTTTTATAGTATCCTTTGGTTCTAGATATAAACGTGAGATATCTGTTTATCAAAGTGACCAGTTTGGTGTTTTCTGCGAAGAAAGAGGAAAAAATTAGATTACTTACGCTCTCATCTTTAAATTTTCTGAGTATATGTAAAATTTATAAACATTTTACCTGATTAATAGAAAATGTGATCTTGTAATCCAGTATGTAGAAAATTAGTAGAAATTAGTTATTTTATTGGAGCAATTTTAAAAAAATACAAGTTTCTTAAACATGATTGCAAATTTTTTTACCATAAATAATGTTCTTGCTCATGAATTTTTAATAATTAAAAGATTGGTTATTGTTTATATCTATATATATATATATATATATATATATATATTTGAACGATGAAACATATAACTTAGATAGAATAATCTAGAGACATTCTGAAAATAATATTAATATTAATTTAATATATTGCACATTTTATAAACATTAATGCATAATTCATATAACATAATATATCAATTCTTTATATATTCAATTTTTTTATATTTATATTAAAAGATTTTGAAAACAAAACTGCCTGTCCGTGAGTCTTCAAACTCTAAAATTAGACACAAGAAATAATTATACTTAATTATTACAAGTTAATTACAATATGAAAAGAATAGTTATTGGCCTCAAATATAATATTACAATTTTGTATATTTCAGAAACTACAATTCATAGACTGGTTGCAGTATCTTGGATATGAAACGTAGAAATACTGAGATAAAAGAAGAACTGCACTCAAAGAGTAAATGTCCACGGAAGAAATGTAAAGGAGAATGATAAAGATCAATACGTCGCGCCGTCATGCATGAATAATTATAGTGTTCATATCACCTGTAGAGAGGTTTGACATATTGGATGAATGAACGTCATCACGAAGCATCAATTGTAGTATTGCATATTTTATGTACAGCAATAGAGATAATTTTTAAAAAGATATAACATTATATAAGAGGATACAGAAGTAGCTTTTTTAACAGAGTAAATCATTATTTTTAATAATTAGAAGTAAACGCATGAAAATCAAACTGTACGTGCTCTATAAAAAGATAAGCTGTACCGATAATTGCACAAAGATCAGCTTTCCTAAATAATGCTCAAATAGTCGCAACTGGAATTGCATATTAAGTAAAAGTTCTGATACAAATCAAGTGAAGCGATAGAAAGAAATGCTTTGAGTCTCCTTGAAAAGAATGCGTAAGAATCGCGAGAGATTATGTCCTGTGATTGTAGTATTCCAAATTTTTTACATTTGCCACATGCCATGTGTGACTGACAAACGAGTAAACTCTCATACGATTTTTTATGGAGACAACTATCTGTTGATGTGATCGTTTTTTTCACGTGCATCCGTTTACGTGCTATTTCTGAGAAGATTGAAAATTGGTGTCGTTTCGTGCGACTCGAGAAGCTAACGGAAGATTTTGTGCCTGGTACGAAAATCCATTATCTTAATCAGCTAGAAATATATATACAAAATTATCTTATATATATTGTGACAAGTTAATTTTGTTTTTATATGCTCATTTAATTCTGATTTATACAATTTATATTTACTTAGCTTTGTATTTTGTGTTTAGACACGGAGGGTACAACCGACGAAGTCCTAATGCTGAAAGGAAGCTTGTCGCCGTATCTCGACACTCACAATGAAGAAGAGTCGTCTTACGTAACACTCAGCAATGGGCCGCACGGTAAATATTAGCACCATTGTACATATATAATAATAAGCGTTAGTTTTATAGCTTACTGCATTAGACTAATCTGTTTGTTAATTTCTTGCCTCCTTGTTACAGCATATATAGGAGATTCCACGAGCACAGAACATAACTCCTACAATCATGTCCTTATAGAGGTGTATTTTGTAACGCCTATCCTCTGCAAGCATTGTAAGTATAGTTTACGTGATTCATTATACAAATTAAATTAGTATTAACATCGAGAAGCATTAAAATAATTTTTTTCAATTTGCCATATCTTTCTGCCTTTTATTCGATTGCCATAACAAAAGTATAAATTAAGCAAAATAAAGTAAAATAAATAAAATCTTTTTTTATATTGAATAATTGTAATTGTGATTAAAAAATCTCATCTTAAAATAAAATAATACAGTCATTTATGTTTTTGTCATAGGTGAAGATTATATCTGGGGCATCGGGAAAGTAGGAGTCGAATGCAAAGGTAAGACCTTCTATAGCAATTAAATAATTAAAGTCGTCGTTGAAGCTGCATCTTTCTCATTTATGTCAGACATGCTATATATTTCGTACGACGTAAAATCTTTGATTTAATATAGCATAGTATATTTGCATGATAAAGATTCAAAGAATAGATTAGATTTTTTTCGTGCCAAAAATAGCCTTCAAGAAATATTATGAAGAATATGTATTCGGTATTCGCACGTGGGTGGGCTAATAAAGGAAGTGTATGTTTTGCATATGTTTTATAACATTTGATTTATCAATAATCACTAGCTAAGCTAGCGATAATAATTTGTAAATAAAACGTCGTGTTATAAACAAACGCACATGGCATTCATGTCATATTCAATCAACGAAATATTTTAAGTAAATATTTGCGCGTCAATGAAATATTTTCAAAAATATGAAACAGAAGTGGTCTCCGATTAAAGAGGGGAAATATTCGTCATCAAATATTTTTCACGCGATGCGCGATTCAAGTGTATCCTCGCACATAATGAAGATACGTGACATTACGACACTTCCGGGGTGCGGGTGGTCGTCGGAGTCATGAATACTCATTGGATCACCCCCTGCGCCGGGATCCGCATGTTGATCATCGATCTCGCCTGGATCACCGTCGAGGGCGGCACCGTAGCATAGTAACACGCCGGTGACCCGCGCCGATTTCAAGAGCGACATGCTATCGTGCCCCCCCCCCTTCACCTTCGTCGCTGCCGCTGCCGCTCTCGCCGCGCCGGTTTCCGAAACTCCACGGCCCTCTCCGGGTGCCGCTAATCCCTCTCCGCGACATCGTACGAGCCAGGACCGTATCTAATCGGGGCAACAGTTTCCTATTCGTAGATATCGTTCTACTTTTTAATTCAGACTCAGCCACCGTTCTGACATTTCGATCGGAAAATCAAAGTAATCATATAATTTTCTAATATTTGCATTTATCAATATAGATTAATTTTAAATTTGGTGAAATTTGTTCTTTACTTTCTATTTTTTTTTTTTTAATTTTTAAATTCATTTTTATCAATGTAGATTAATGCATAATTTAATGATATCGGGATATGGGGATATATCGTAAATATATATATTTTTAAATATTTTTAATTGCAATCATTT